GCAGCAGCAGCACTAACAACAACAACAACAACAACAACAACAACAACACCAACAACAACACTGGACGTAAAAATGGCCGTCGTCAACTTGGAGGTTCTGTCCCACAGTATATTGGAGTGAGGATGAATGTCGGTCAGAATAGCCTGCCTCCGGAATACCTCCCGAATATGAACCAGGCGTATAAACACATGGGGTATGGATGTGGTGAACACAACTGAACTCTGAAATACAAGTTGGATATACAGAGTGTCTACAAAAGGTCTGACACATTTTGATCTTTAATAATTCGAAAAATAACGAAGACAGAGATAAACTGGTTACATTGTTGGATTGAGAAATTCAAAAAGTTTTGTGTCTACAGTTAATAAAATTGTACATGTGCTCCATTTGTTGCACGTAAAATATCAAGACGATATTCGATTTCTTGCCAGGTTCGGGCAAGCATACCGGCATCCAGTGGTTATTGCGTCTCTTACTCTGGTTTTTAAGTGATCGACGTCTCTCACCCGCGTCTTATAAACAACGTCTTTGATATATGTCTTTGATATATCCCCAGAGGAAAAAGTCCAGTGGGGTTACGTCAGGTAATCTTGGGGGCCAAGAAATTGGACTACCTCGTCCAATCTATCTTCCTGCAAAAGTCTGTCCAAAGCATCACGAACTATGGTGCTCCAGTGAGGTGGCGCACCGTCTTGTTGGAAAATGACTGATGTGTCTTTTCAGAGAAAAAGAAAGGCCCAATGACTCGATCATGCATAAGAGCACACCAGACATCCACTTTTGGGGAGTCTTTTGCCATTTCACGGTATTCATGAGGGTTCTCTGATCCCCAAATGCGTACGTTATGGCGATTGACTGTTCCGGAAATGTGGATGAAAGCTTCATCAGAGAACAATATGGTTGTAAGAAATCTTTCATCATCCTCTATTCTTTGTAACATATCTGTTGCAAAATCCGTTCTCGTACTCTTACTAGAGAAAGAGACGCAATAACCACTGTGGATGTGGGTATGCCTTCCCGAACCTGGCAAGAAATCGAATATCGTCTTGATATTTTATGTGCAACAAATGGAGCATATGTACAACTTTATTAACAATAGACACACAACTTTTTGAGTTTCTCAACCCAACAATGTAACCAGTTTACTTCTATCTTCGTTATTTTCCGAATTATTAAAGATCAAAATGTGTCAGATCTTTTGTAGACACCCTGTGTGTATATATATATATATATAAAACTGCCGATAGCTTGGTGCACTTTGCAAACATGTAGGGTTCAAGATCATTAGTACCACCAGCGGGCTGCTTTTAACGGGAAGATTACCGGCTTCTGGCAAAAAGTTTGAGACCGTCTCAGAGGAACATGTTGCCTCCACCTTCAGGGAAGAAGTGTAAGCCATGCGCGGAAAGCCGATACAAATATAGAGGGGTGACCAGGACAGGAGCAAAGAAACAATCCGTGCCCTTTGAAACTCTAGGACACACACAAAGGTAAAGCTCGACATAAGAGTTTTCGATCAATGCGAGTTTTGGTTCATACGGTCACAAACATTTATACCATTCCTCTACATGTTCCCCCCTAAAATTTCGTACATTCGGCGGATTATGAAAGACAAAATTTTCTACGATACGACTAAATCTAAGGAATACATAGGACAAGGTAAAGCTGCATCAACATCTTTTAGTATACAGTGCACTACAAACAGAAGTTCTATTTTCGCTTTTAATAACTTGGCTGGATGATTACATTCAAAAACGGATTCCAATTGGTACCAACAACATAATGGTAAAAGCACTTAATATGTTTTCATCGCTCAAAGAAAACAAATTCAAATGGGATACCATGATATTTTCTGCCAGCAGAGGGTGATAATGAAAAGTTCAAAGCTCGAACTGGAATGTCTAATGTCATGTTAACAAGGGAAGCGAGGAGTGCCCATAAAGATGCAGCCTCCAAATTTCCTGCATGTTTAAAAGAATAATTGAGCAAAATAATTATGACCGCCAAATTTTTAAGTTGATGAAAGATGGAACGTGCCTTTATTGAAAGAAAATTCCGCCTAGTTTTCTTAGCTAAAAATGAAGACTCACAAGTGCTTACATAGACCCCGAAGGCCGCCTAACTCTTTCTCTTGGGAGGAAACTCTGAAGGAGATTTCAAACTGAAACATACGCTTATTTACCATTCACTATTAAAAAAAAATTCACTAAATCTGTGGGCTTCAAGAGGTTGTTTCGAAAATCAAGTTGACGCTCTTATTGAAGGATCTTGGCTTTGAAGATGCTGATTCGCCCAATATCAGAGAATGCCTGAACTTGCACTCACAGCCACTCAGTGCCACAGACGTTACAGAACTGGAAGAACAAAGTGCCTATGACAAGAAGATGAGTATGTCTCAAAGGAATTTTGATAAAGGTACTCCAGCAGATGCTTCGAAATTTGGAACCTGTTAAATAACAAATCACGGATTTAGATCCGAATGTCGAAAGAAGCATGCTAGTTCACCAAATCCTAGAAAATGGAATTAGCTGTTATCGTATATTGTATTAAGAGAAAAAGAGAGCTATGTCTGTTCAAACGATGTTTCACAAATATTTTTCCAGAAAGTAGCATATCCATTTTTCATTCGTTTTGCTGCCCATTTATTTAATAATTTTTAGCTTATTTGCTTTTCATTATTCTTTATACTCGTACAAGGGAATGTAAAATGTCAAATACCTGATGATGGCTTAAAGAGCTGAAATATGTTGTAAGAAACGATGAACATATGGTGTGTCCGTATTTCCTATTGTCGTAACAGAATAGAATAAAGAAATTTCACAAGTCTTAATTAAATCCTTACTCAAACCAACCAAGTGACTCATGTGGAGGAGACCAAGCAGGCTATCACAGTCTAACACTGCAGAGCAACCAAAAAATATGGACTAATATTGTTCCAAACAGGATTATAGCCTAGCAATGCATTAAGGCTTTGAACATATTTAAGGACAGTGAAACTACCCTTGGCTGGATAGTCTTTGCAATGCATACTCCATTCACACATGCTATGAACATCCACATACTTGTGGAAATTTGAGGAATGAGCATGTTTACATTAACGTTTCTTCACCATTCTGTTAAAGAGTATTTTGTCCGCTAAAAGTTATTAAATAAAACTGCTGATCAGACCAATTCCTCCATCACTGGGCAGGGTACATCATGACAAGAGCTGTGGAGACAGCAAATAACTGAAACTTAAGAACTGTTCATTTTCTCTTACCCATTAGAAGGCCATGTCTAACCACTTGCTGCAATATGTATCACATTTATGTGTCTTGCCTTACAGAAGGATAATTGCTTAAGGATGGTATACCTGCATTTTGGAGAATTCCATCTCATGTGTCCATATTCTTTGGCCTATTCAGTACCTGTTTCATGACACTGCAACAGCTGCTGAGGTTATGAAGCTTCAAATTAGATAAAATAGGATGGATAGGAGGGGGATATTGTGGCCTGTTTAAAGTACTATTCCATCTTTATATGCAGGCAAAGAGCATGGTCCCAACACATTGCTACAAATCAGAGATGCAATTACAAAGGGAAAGTCCAAAAACATCTGAACAAGTCCTGGTGATATTTCCAGTCACCCAGAATATAAATATGTCCCATATTTCAGGAAACCCCACATGAAATGCAGAGAAAAATGTTTTCTGCATTTAATTTAAAGACCAGAGTAAGAGTGAATACAATACCACATTATCATGTGCATCAACAAGAGAAAGTGACAGTGAACATTTATATGCCAATTATCAAGTAATCAAGGTTTCCAAATTTCTTAAGTCTTAAAACCTTCAGAAATCAAAACAAGACTATACACAGATAATAATTTCAAAGTCAACAGCAACAAAAATCGATTACGTTAATTACATGAATGTTTAAAAAGTTTGGCAAAGTTCTGGTAGCTGAAATAATTTCTGGGTGGAAAGATATGGAATTTCACTTTTTACAGTATAAAATATTTTCACAATTAATACTGTAAATAAAGTCAAATTAATGCTTTCAAAACCATAAAACAGTCATTAGTGCCCAATTACTTTACTTGCAGTGCCTGATACCATTTTGATGCAAGCAATAAAAATACTTCGTTGTTAATGCAAATAACTCGTGTCTTTATCGGCTAATGGTTCCATGAGAATTTTGAGAAAGCACTGTATTACCAATGGCATGGGAGGCGGGGGAGCCCAATCGATTAATTCTTAGGGTAAATAAGTAAATGCCAGAACCACCCAGCATTCTCCCTAACGCACCCCACCCGGCACGACCGTTCGGGAGGAGGGGGACCTGTCTGACTCACCATAACTTCCGGTGTTGCTACACTTCCCCTCCACCGGCCAATGTCGTCACATATCTCATCAAACAAAAGGATGGAAGGTGGGCCAGTGGACTAAACTCGGAGGATACAAAACATCACTGTAAACCAATTCTAATCATATGAAGTCCCAGATATGTGATTATAGCAAAGAAAACATTAAAACCAATTGCTTAAGGCTGGAAATATGGAAAGAAAAAACGATACATCCCATTCTGGTTCCAGCCGTTTTGGTCGAACTTGCAACACTGTACTCCAGCCAACACCCAAACTATCACAGCTGGTCCAGATGGCGACAGCTCTCAACAGCAATATTCTTAAGGTAACATGACCCTCCGACCTCCAACTGAGAAATAATACCCATAATTTTGAATCGCATAATTTTACTCGATATTAATATTTCCAGTCAAGTCGAATTTCTTAATCCTTAAGTTTCCTGTCTCACAACCATATTTAGCGTCTACCCTGAATTTTGCGTATAGCTTTCGTTAAAATAAATAAACTTGCTTACTATATACCGAAAACTACCCGGCTCCACAAGCACGAGTTCGCGTTCACGATGGCTCAAATGCAATTTATTATACAGAAGGCGCCAAGGTTCGAACATTTTGTTTCGTTCCCATGGACGAATATCAGTTTTGTATGCACTTACGTTTTGTGGAAATACCAAACCGCCTTCACAAATCTCCACGTAATTCTTATGAACAAATTTCTTGACGATCTGACCTAGAGAAGGGGATGAAAATGAATGTTAGAACTCGGCAGTGGTAGATACAGCATCACAGAGAAACAAACCATTTTCCCTCCACGCGATTTAATAGGGACCGAAACAAAACAACACACGCAAGTAGTTATTCACAACATAAATAGAAAATAGTGCAATATGTAATACATCCGAAATAATTCTGTACCTACAGACAAACTCTTCCTATGCAGCAACTCCACTCCAGTTCACTAAGTAAGACAATTAACGTCCTCACACAACACAAACCACGACCACTATACCGACTACGCCGGTTACCAAAGACTGTTTGAAAAGCGTGCTGTCAAGAATAATGTCTGCCTCACCAACAGCACGCTCCAGTGATGAAATACTGGAACTAAGGAAGACAACTAACAAATTCTACAGATGTCACTGTCTAACTTTCGAGTGACCCCCCCGAGTACTATCCTGCCATCTTTGAGCAATATTTAAAACTAACATTTACTTACTTTCTGTCCCCTTGTATACTCAAGCGGGCAAATATGATCGCCAATCCATTTTTAAAATTTGGAACTATGGTGAAAATCTAAACAAGGCTATGAAACTGCCTCAGATGTTTCATAAACTCATCTTTATGTAGTTCAGTGAATATCCTGCTTGAAGTAATGACACAAGTCTTATGATTATTCTTCTTACTTAGTCATTGCTTTCCCCAATAATCTGTCCAGTATTTTCATTTATGAACACCTCAAACGAAACCTTATAGTCATCCATGTATAACATGCATTAATACTACTATAACCTTGCTTTCAGTCACGTTTCTTGTAAAAGACAAAGTTGTCCCTTGGCACTAAGCCAAGAAGACATATAGCTCTATAATTCGTGACTTCGGCACTAGATGGTATGAATGGTCAGTTTCATGCCCAAGGGGAAAGAGCACTGGGTACCCTTTGCATATGAAGTTGGGTGGGCCCCACAGCCTGTCAGGATGATCTGCAGAACAGAAAAATCTTGCACCTGCCTGAAACTGAACCCCAGCCATTCACCCTCTCACTATACTGACTTGCACACTTTTCTTATAGCATTTGTTTCACACCTGTAAAATTGGAAGTCTAAGCCCCCACATATTTTCTTACAGAATAATTATTTTATTACAAATGAGATCAACATAAGATATAACATTAACATTAATGAACGATGCTCCGATTTCTTTGAATCTTTGGAATCTGTGCTAAATCATTTTAATCATCTGATAATACATCCAATTTCATTAAATGAATTCAAGTTCTCATTTGTCAACTCCTCTGATAAGAAGTAGGTCTGGTAAAAGAACGCAAGTTTCAAACCTGCACAGTAGTCAGTCACTGGATACTGAAAAGGAGTATTTATAAGAATAATGGGGGGGGGGGAACAGGAAGTTTAATGAGATTTTCTGTAATGTTTCAAATTTTCAGGTAGTTAAATCAGAGTTTAGTCATAACAATAATTTTAATTAAGCAACTGTTTCTACACAAAATATTAATTTTATGACCTATGAAATTTGTGATATCAAATGCAAACAATTAATACTAAAATGCAGCCAATACCTTTTTCCTTCAGTGATATATATCAAACCGCAACAGTGCTTCTTAGACAGAGTTACGTGACTGAAAGAAAAGTCTAATATGGGCACAGAAGGAATGAGAATTGTCAGTGGCACATGGGACATAATGAAAAGTAATATTCAGCTTTAAATGTCCCAAATACTGTCAACATAATTAATGTCTGCCGGGTGAAATCAAATGAGCTACTGTATACAATTATGATGGACAATGCACACTCCACTGCCCACATTCTAAGCAATGATACCTGCGTTGTCACATTTGCTTGAATGTGGGCAGTTCCCACAAAACCAACCTCAAACCCTTTCACCTGCAAAATACACATCTGTGTCACCAATCATACTTGTCTGGCATTCTGTTGCATGTGAGACTTGGTTGGATCCATAACATTTTGTGTATTTCTATTGTACATATCAGAGACATAATCACAGCAAAAACTATATACTGGTTATATATAAAAAAAAAACTAAAGTATTCATCAAACAGATTTTTCTACACTGAGCATGTAGAATCAACATATTTTCTACATATGTTATATAATGAAGCAAACAAATTTAATTTATACACTTAAATTTTTTACTGTAATATCTGAAGTACTCTAAATTTAAAATACAAAGAGTTGCAACATGAGAAGGCAAGATCAACTAATTTATTTTTAGTATGCTACCAAAATATGGTGAAGTTATTTAATGAGAAATACGACTGTGAAACGACTGATCAGCCAGAAAGGTGAAGCAGTGTTAGTACAGAATTAAGGCAGTTGTAGAAAAAGCTAGAAATCATTAAATGGAAATAGGGAATGTAGAGCTATGGCTGCTGGACTTCAGCTTGAACCAAGCTGTAGCATCAACAAAATATGCAGAAGGCCTTGAGGGCTATGGTTCAGAAGCCAATAGTTACGAAGAGCTGTAATGCTGAGAGTATGGGGTTACAGGCTCTAGTAACCACCAAAGTACATGGTGTCACATCCCACAAGACCTTCATTTTGATACTCCTGCCATGCTAATTTTAAATCATCTTAGGGACATAGAGAATTGAAATTCATCAGAACAAAGTCACTCCAGTTAACTGTTAACTTGAACCTTATTCTGCATTATTCAAAGTCCTATGGCAAAATTTGAGGACACTGATAAGGAAATAAATGGAGCAAAACTGTAAACAACCAGCTACTGAAACTGGCACTATTTCAGAGTTACAGCATTTCTGACTTTCAATCTCTCTCTTTTTACATTCCTGTGATGGAACCTTCATGAAGTCACCAGAGAGATCATACAGCATTCACTCAATGGCTCACATTACCTTCAACAGCACTGTAGTAATAACAGCAAAATAAGATGGCATGATATAATAATGCGGAATATGATAAAAGGCATTTTGTGTATAGATTTTGTAACAGAAATGCTAAAGCTGCAATGACAGAAAAACAGTGTCAGTATCCAGGTTGGAGTTAACCTAACAGATATGTTTTTTCAATCACATATGACAGTCTGAAGAAAATAGGCATAAGCAGACAAAATGTGCAAACAGGAGAGGAAATATTAGATGGTCTACATGTCACTCATTGGGTCACACATCAAACAGACCTCTTTCAGAATGCAGTTTCATGAACACTGCATCAGGAGAAGTTGAATCACTTTCATATATAAGTCTGACAAGGGCTAGAGGGAAGGCTCAATAATGCTCTCCTCCAGCTGTTCATGGCTTATGCTCAAAACTGTACATGAATATGAATCTTTGTGCTGAGTATTGTGAACTCATACAGCTCATGCTAACAAGCTCCTTTATAATTAAATCTATTCAAGTAATGTCACTAAACCCATCATTTGTAAAGTCTGCGGAAACAGAGGTATGCCTACTTTCTTGGCTTTGTCTCACATGATCACATGATCACGTGCTGCAAGATATGATGCCAAATCAAACAATATTTCAACTTCGGAAATATGTTTACCATTCCAAATTTAAAGTCTTGTCTATGCCACACGTTATTAACCCTCTCACAATGATCTAATCAAGGCATACCCAGTACTGGAATGCAATATATGTGAAGGCTTCCACAGTACCAAGGAACAAAGGCAAATATTCCTGGCATGGTGCTTCACAGGATTCCACTAGATTAGACATTGTGAGGTTATATCACCACTTAGAAATGTTTAACACTTGTTACCTTATACATGTTTGTGTAAAGAAAAATGATTTATCAGCTGTCATCATTCAAACAATATAGTTTCAGTTATTACCATATTACTATTTTACATGTTCTTAAAAAGATCTTCATAAAAGCCACACATTATGGGAGTAGTACTGTTTCTAACACAGAAGTCACACTGATGCCAGTGATGACAGGAAGCTGGCACATACCAAGATCTGGATATCACAATTGGCATGATGTTCATACTGGGTTATACAAAAACTGGTCAATTACTGGCAATGAAACTGATGATTTCAGTTAAATCAGGGGGGGGCACAAAAATATGCTCAATTTATCAACAGAGCTCCAGAGTGTCCGCCCATAGCCTATTTTTAATCATTTCTACAAGACAAGTCTCCCATACCAGTTGAAGAGTTACAAACCTGTCAGGGAGAAATACAAATATTACAAGCATACAAATTCCAAATTTAGGAAGCATATAACATGGGAAGAACGTGATAAACAAGCTGTACCATACAAACTGTTACATCTAAAAAATGGTGTGGCTTGGAGAGTACAAGTCATTACAGCACTTTCAAGTCATGCACAAACCCATCATACACAGCAAGTTTTAAATTTAAATCCAAGAACAACACGGTCTTGTCTATACTTAATGATGTTTGTGATACTTCATGCAATGATACTCAAATAAGCCAGGCTAGGATAGGACTTGAGATTTTCTGACAATGGCAGACTGAAACTTCAACATATAAATGTTTCAGATGTGTCTGACCTCTTCTGGCACCAAACCGTCAAGATGTAAACACAACACCTTATTATTACTCTTGGTCTGAAAATTAAAGTTCTTTTACACACTTTTGGCTGCAAAAATGTATTACCAATGACAGTAAAGGAGTGGTTCCCTAGCAAAAATTTATGGCATCCATGTTCACTTTTAGATAACATTCTGATGTGGAAATTTCAGAACATACAAGATGCTTAAATAAAGGTTTAGCAAAAGACAATTTAAGTGCTCAGTCAATTAAGTAAACACACAGTAAAAATAAGAAGACTGGAAGAAAACTTAATAATACTGTAATATTTTTGCATTTATAGTATAGATGACCAACAATGCATTGCCATTTGAGGCTGAAGCATTGCTATCTGTGTACTGTGCATGTCCATTTCGTGACTCCGTGGAGCAGGGTTGGGCATGGTGGTGGTAGCGCAGCAAAAAGCTATTGTGCCACTGGTGAGTAGAACCATAACATAATGTCTAAGCTTCCATTTTCCCTTATCAGCAAATAGAATTCAGACACTTACAGGATAAGATAATTCAGTTTTCCTAGTTGAACTCAAAACCTACTATTTGTGGCTACACTAAGCCACCATTTATGGACATAATTTCTGACAAAAACTATACATTTTTATGCTACGTTTGAGAAATGGTAGGACAAGTTTCCAGAAAGTACATACCGATGCCATCAGTTGACAAGGAGCCCTCTTATTATCAAGAAACCCTCATACTTGTAAAAACTGGTTAGATTAAATCTGTTTACTTCTAATGTTGGGGTTATAAATGAAAACAGGTGCCTACTCTTCAGAAGTTCTGTAATAAAGCATAAAACACGTGAAATGTCCCCTTATTCAAGTCCCATAGAGCAGAAAGTGTTAGCAACTTCGTTTGTTTTTTAATGCTTCAATTCATTAACAGCACAGATGTGTTACAAACCTGAAAGTTACATTACATCCAAACAAAATGAGCATTTAAATAAACAAGAATAAATATACTGTTCTGTGGTTGAATTCTCACCACGTATCATTATGATTGTGGTGGTAGTTATAGTAGTAGTAGAGTAGTAGTAGTAGTAGTAGTAGTAGTAGTAGTAGTAGTAGCAGCAGCAGCAGCACATTATGGTTGTGGTAGTTACAGTAGTAGGAGTAATAGTAGTAGCAGTAGTAGCAGCAAGAGCAACAGTCACAGTAGTAACAAAAACAAAATAATAATTTTAAGTAGAGTATTTGTGTTACATACAAAGGGAATTATTATTAACTTCTCTTACTATTCCAAATTAAATGCTCTATGCCAAGTCTATTATACTGAATAACCTCCAAAGACTTGTAATTTTGGGTTTCCTACTTAATAAGCTCATTTCATTCTTTCTCTCCAAGCAGTTACTTTATTTTTATACAAAAATAAAGATCAAATTATGAATCTACTTGGGATCATCACTAATAAGGGAAGGATAAGATCATATAAGGATTCTTTGCCGAGCAGTGGATTCGAAGACTAAATTGAAGAAAATCTTGAATGGAGGTAACACACCTCTGAGGTTAACCCGGGGTCACTGAAATTGATCATTAACCTTAAAACCTTAAATTGAGGCACTTTAACCTTTAACTGCCAAATGTTATATACATATGCATCAAGCAGCAACCTGTGTTGGCCAAATGTTATATATATGACCCAGGACACCTGCTCTTTGGGAGTGCTGACAAGTTCAATCTTCGTTTTGAAACCAAAACAAACACACTCAAGTTCATGTCAGAGGTTTATTTGTTAGCTCTGAACAATGAAATTGTTTATCAGGGTACTGGTTTCGATACTATTTACATTTATATATGACTGTTTATGACCTGGTCAGCCCAATATAGCCCAGCTTTGTTCTGAGAACTGAAGAGGAAAGTTTTCAGTGGCAAATTATCAGTTAGGAAGTCAGTGTTGGACTGAGTAAAATTTCTTCATCACTTAAAAAGTTAGTGTCAGATTGTCATATATTTCTTTGTATATTATTTTTATTTTGTGTCTTGGAAGAGGTATAAACCCACTGAGTCAGTATTACTTTGTGAGTAAAAGGCATCTTCGTCACTGTGACTTTCAGTATCAGTGTCAGACTGGCACTCTCTTTGACTACTATTACAGTCATTATTTTTTATTGCTAGTGGGGTGGGACTAAGTCCCTTGTACTGCGGCCACTTCTGACCTATTGTACCATACTATTACAGTTACTTTGCATCACTATTTTGCGAGTCTTTGTCAATCAACATAATTTATTAGATTTTGCTTGAACCTCAAAAACGTGCCCGATATTCCAAACTTCTCCATGCAGAAGAACTGGAGGAAACATTGATAGAAGAGGAATCTGATGAAGAGTTAGAAGATATCAATGAGTTCATTGAACCTCGAGAAAATATGTCGTCATCATCATCATCATCAGACAATGAGGCAGACGAAATGGAAATTAGGTTTCATGACATNCTCTGAACAATTAAATCGTTTATCAGGGTACTGGTTTCGATACTATTTACATTTATATATGACTGTTTATGACCTGGTCAGCCCAATATAGCCCAGCTTTGTTCTGAGAACTGAAGAGGAAAGTTTTCAGTGGCAAATTATCAGTTAGGAAGTCAGTGTTGGACTGAGTAAAATTTCTTCATCACTTAAAAAGTTAGTGTCAGATTGTCATATATTTCTTTGTATATTATTTTTATTTTGTGTCTTGGAAGAGGTATAAACCCACTGAGTCAGTATTACTTTGTGAGTAAAAGGCATCTTCGTCACTGTGACTTTCAGTATCAGTGTCAGACTGGCACTCTCTTTGACTACTATTACAGTCATTATTTTTTATTGCTAGTGGGGTGGGACTAAGTCCCTTGTACTGCGGCCACTTCTGACCTATTGTACCATACTATTACAGTTACTTTGCATCACTATTTTGCGAGTCTTTGTCAATCAACATAATTTATTAGATTTTGCTTGAACCTCAAAAACGTGCCCGATATTCCAAACTTCTCCATGCAGAAGAACTGGAGGAAACATTGATAGAAGAGGAATCTGATGAAGAGTTAGAAGATATCAATGAGTTCATTGAACCTCGAGAAAATATGTCGTCATCATCATCATCATCAGACAATGAGGCAGACGAAATGGAAATTAGGTTTCATGACATAAGACCCGGGGATTCGCCAAAGGTACTAGACTTCACTGGTCCTCCGAGTGGAATCAACAGATCAGCTGCTCCCAATAAAAATGCACAGTCCTCTCCTTTTTCCATTTTCATTCTGTTTTTCCAGCAAATATTCCAAATCTTGTTACAAGAAACCAACAGATATTTCCGCCAATTTATGGCATGCCAAGATGCTCCAGGCCCTTCTGTTCAACCACCTGACGTTACAATTGAACAGATATATAACTTTTGGCAATAATAATTCAAATAGGCCACGATCAACGGGACACTGTCAAAGATTACTGGTCAAGAGATGAGCAATAATACACTCCATTCTACCGTAACACCATGATATGAGACCGTTTCTTCCATATTTTGAGATTCCTGCATTTCAAAAATAATGAAGCTCCTCCAAATCTAGATGATCCAGAGTATGATACGCTCTGGAAAATTAGAAAAATTTTTGACAATCTGAAGAACAAATTTACATGGACAATTATTTCAGTTCTCCTGCATTATTTGACGATCTTTTAGACAGGAAAATAAATTTGTGTGGCACCGTTCGCAATGATTGGCAAGGGGCATCTAAAAGTGTTGTTCGTTGGAAAGACAAGCATGATGTGTATGTTCTGACAAATATGGACCCTCCTCCATTGGAAGGCAACTTCCGAGATGAATCTGGCCATGCTGTCAAACCCCATGTAATTGAAGACTACAGTGCACACATAGGCTTTGTTGATAAATCTGCCAGGATGGTAAACAGTTGTGGCATTGCTAGGAGGACATGGAAGTGGACAAAGAAATTGTTATTCCACCACTGAGATATGACTATTCTAAATGCATATCTATTACACAAGTTATGTGGTGGAAAAATGACATACAAAAATTCCGCGAAATATTGGTGTCTTTTTCAGGGGAGGCCAAGTTCATCTGGGGTCCAACTGAGTTGACTGGAGGTGAAACATTCACAACACTGGCCAACCAAAGGGAAACAAAGATGTTGTCATGTTTGTTCTCAAATAAGAAAAGCAGAAGCATGCTCTACTATTGTAAAAAGTGTAATGTTGTGCTCTGTGTGGTGGGCTGCTTCGAGAAGTGGCACACGCACGTCAGAGTGTGAGGATCGTAAACTGTGAAGTGATGCAGTTCAAACTCGCATACAGTCTGAACAAAATATTATTATATATAGTGTGATTATATTTACAACATCACCATGATTCAAGGTTGAAGAAAAAACAAGAGGTAAGTCCTTTGGAATTTCATAACATATATATAATAAATATATTTTGCAATTCATGACAAAATAATCACAGTTAATTTTCATTTGTAAAACTTTCTCTTTTGTGCATATGTACAAAATTTTATTGTCTTTCAGGTTCTTTTTAGTTCGTATTTCTATGTTGCATAGAATGGAAAATATGCATTTTTTCTGAAAGTCTGCAATGTTAAAGACTTATGGCCATTTTAATTCCAGCAATTTAAAAGTCCATATGTTAAAGGTTAAACAGGGAATTCATTGTAATGACTGTGGTGCTAAAGAAGATAGTGTGTTAAGCTCTGAAACTATTTTCACTGAAATGGCAAAAGTCAGGGTCTGAAACCTTATGAATCCAGGTTTATTCTGGACAAATGTTTAAAAAAAGAAACAGAAGGTATGACAAGGAGGGATAGGAAGAGTGGTCAGTCATCCAGAAACTATATCAGATTATACAAGCACTGATTTGACATAATGGGACAGCTTTGAAAAACCAAGTTAATAAACAGGTTCCATATATCTAAAAACTGATAAATCCTTTAGCCACACCTTTCAGAAGATAAAAACTACTGTTACTATTTAACACCTTCAATACCAGCTCGTATGGGATCTGAATTTAATGGAATGGCTATTTAACCACAAACAAATTTGTTATGTAAAATGTTCAGGGATGAAACACTTATACTTCCACCATTACTACACAGAGTGCAGTCTGCCACCTCAGTCACCAGCAATCCCTGGTAGCCTGAGAGGTCAGATTCAAGTAATACTAACAAATTATGTAATTCTTACAATTCCCCTAAATTGTAAACATTACTGAAACTTCAGGCCAATCAGAAATACAAATTCCATTCCACAGAGCAGTGTCATGCAATATGCATTTCTGACTGCAGCATGGTAGCTAACCAACAGGGTACAAACAAAAGGCTGTGTAGTGAGAAATTTAAAAAGAATTATGAAGTACATATGTGGATTTGTTCTATATCTCTGTGTAGAAAGTTGGCCGCTCTATGCTCATGAGCCTGAAAACACTGGGCAGTAGATAAACAGTGTTGAAGCCAAGGAGAGCATATGTAATGAATGTGTAGCTCAGTTCCACAGTGATCTTCTGCCTGTTCTTGATGCTATTTTGTGACTGCTGCAACTCTCGAGAGTTGAGACGCAATAATGTGCACACTGTGGCATATGATGCTGACTTGCAGAGAGCACGTGTTGCAACAATGCAGCAGAATCCAATCACTGTTCTCAAAGCACTCAGACCCAACATCTCATACGATGGCCAGATGATAGCATATGGTGGACTATCTGGAGATTCACTCAGCACACCCAGCTGGTAGTTTGTCCACGCACCAACGTGCACACCAACACATACACTCAACACCATCGTGGTGTCACCACTGTAACAGTGTATGAAAGTCCATATGGAATGTTTATAAGACTGTAGGATTCAGCTTCATTTCTTAATGTAATCAGGCCCAAAATCTGAACTTATTTCTCACATTTCTATTAAAAACATGAGCTGAATTATAACAGTGGGTGGGAAAGGTTTTGATTTTTAGGAAATATAATTTTAGAAAGACCAAAATGACAACCAAATGCTATATTGTATTAATGTAAATATAGTATTGTCTGTGACTTTAAAGTTACTGAAATGTGTTACACATTTAATCATCACTGAATTAATTTTACTGAGTAGCCCCTAGCACACATGCTCAGTGTACTGTTCCAGTGATGGGGCTATCCCCATATTTATAACCCTCAGGGGGGCAAGTATCACATACTTGAGAGCCCTTCATAAAGTGACCTGAATCTCCAATTGTAATATGTAGTTTCTTCCTGCAAGATAACAAACATGAACATAAATAGACCCTACACAATATTAATTCCAGGAACCTACCTTCATATAAGAAGGAACTGTTACAATTAGAAACACAAATTACACAACACTATCTGAAGATCTGTGACACATATGTGCACAGGTACACACCCACAAGCACCCACAGAGATAACTCCACCTTAGATTTCTTTTGGGAGCAATGGACATGAATACACAACTGAGGAAATGTGAGGCAATGGGTTCACTGAAATTGGATTTTAAATGAGGGAAAACTTTAAATCAAAGAACGTTAAGAAGGGACTAAAACAATTTGATACTATATACTGACCACAAACAATGGAGAAATATGATCAATAGCAAACAGATCTAGTCACGCAGTAATGTCAGATCCTGCATCCTTGCATAATGCAATTTATCTGAGATAAAAGTCTGGCCTCATTCATTTTTATCACATCCCATATAATCAGATTTTACAAATACTAAACTGAGCTCAGTTTTAACACCTTTCAAGTTCCACTTTAAAACTCTGTAAGATGAACAGGCCAAACAGCATGATCCACAAGGAAGAAAATGAATAAACATTTTATGTATTCTGGGAATACTTCTTAGAACATTAAGAGACTGTTTGGAAAGTGTTATAACAGCAGCATGCTGGTGAGAGTCAAGTGATACAAATTTCAGTAGATGAGCTCACTTCAGAGATATACATGTACATGGAAGAAACATACTAAAATTGATCTTGCAGGAATGGAACTGAAATAAACTATGGTAGAGATCAAATAGTAAGTTTATATGCAACTGATTACGACAGCAGGGAATATCTAGATCAGCCAGGAAACTACCAGCTATTCAAGAAAAACCTTGTAAAATACACTAAGAATAAGACTTTGCTGCTATATGCAAACACTAACAGTAATTCCCTCTCACCGAGTTGGAGTCCAACGATCACTACTTGGATAGAATACCACCAGACAGATGGCAGTAATAAGCAGAATGGCTGGAGACCAGTGACTGGTCAGAAGATAATGGTCCAATGCATCAACTAATGGCACAACTGGAACCATAAGGCCGAATGCAAGCACTATGCCCACCACAATGTCCTGAAACAGATAAATTTCAGCTGAAGGTCAGTTTCCTTTCATAACTCACTGCTTTTCTCTACCAGTGAATCAATTCAGCATCCTAAAACAGTCTTCTAGACCTGTCACAATCTGACTTGATTAATGCCTACAGGCTGGATTTCTACTGCATGTAATTCATATACATCTGTTACGGAATGGATCAGCTGTGTAACATTTCTTACTTAAAATGTTTCTGACACCTCTGCCATAAGCAATATTAAATGTTTAAGAAATAGTCTAGTCTAGAGCTTAACAAAATATGGTGTGAGGATGCAAAATGGATTTGAAGAGTTCAAGATAGGGTCCAGCAGCAGATTTTGTGAAGAGAGGAGTACTTCAGGTTGCATAATGGGCACGGAATTTCTTCACCAGCTGAGCTACTAGCTTCTTAAGAACTCTGATCCATGGAATTAGTCAATTATCAGTGTACTGAATGAGTAAATGCAACATAAATATATTATCTAATTACAAAATTCTTACTAGGACAGAATGCATCCCAAGATACAGCCGGCTAAGGCAAATAACAGAACACCATCCAATGGCAAAAAGGACTCCGAGACTAACAGAATACTGCAACAAACAAAAACATGCTTTTAGAAATATGGAGCAAAATTGTGACTGTGTGAACTATTCATGTACAACGGTTTGGGCTCACCTGGTACCGGTTCATCGTGTACAGGATGACGGAAAGGGGAATAGAAACACCAACCATAGCATGTGTGGATGGCATTCCATACTCCAACGCCCACTTCTTCTGCAGACGCACAACAGGAGGGCAAGAGGGCCGAGGCCACCGCACTACATCTTTAATACCTTGACCTACAATACCCAAGCATAATATTATGTTTAGTGTGCATATATGCAACCAAACTTTACTAACAACTTTGATGAAATATGCATGACAATTACAAAGAGTTAGCAGCATGTGAGGCCATGACATAGCTCAAGCAGTTAGTCACTGGCTTCCCACCGCGGCGGCCCGGGTTCAATCCCTGGTCTGGTCAAGTGGAATTTGTGGTGGACAAAGTGGTGCTGGGGCAGGTTTTCTCAGAGTACGTCAGTTTCCCCTGCCAATCTTCATTCCACCAATTGCTCCACAATCACCCTTGCCTAACATCTGGGGCTGGTACAATAGGCCAGAAGTGGCCGCAGTACAAGGGACTTAGTCCCACCCCACTAGCAATAAATAAAAAAAAAAAGCAGTAGGTGATGTCAGAAGTTTTTTCTGACTAACAGTGCATTGTGAATTATGAGTTAACGCTTACAGTGCTATGGTCAACAAGGAAATGTAAAAGAAGGTGCTCACCCATCTACAGGCGACAGTTCACTGAAGTACTAAAGTATTCTGAAATGTGGGTGACTAGAGAACGGGTGCTCCTACACCATAATACCCTGACACACCATTCATTAAACCTACAGCAGCAACTTTCCAGGCTTGGACTACAGTGCTTCCCTACCTATCATACTCTACTGACCTCACCCTGTGACTTTTGCCTCTCTCCACAGATGAGGACCAGCTGAAGAACTAAAATTTCAAAGAAAGAGAAGTTCATACGGTTTTGAAGACTGTACTGCAAGTGTTCATGCATAATAGCTTCTAGAAATGTTCTGAATTAACTACATCAGCACTGGCATGTGTAGCCCACGTAGGGCTGTATTTTTAAAGCAAATTCATTCATTTATTTACATACCATGGATCCTTACATGGAAGGATGTTACACATGTTATCCAAGGAAAATCAGAATGAGTAAATCATTAAACAGTTATGTAAAATGCATGTAACTTACTAATATGAAACAAGACTACCATAATCAGCAGGAGTAGTACAGTGGAAAAAGATCAGTGGGTGTAAAAGGAGAGGAAGTGCTATATGGTTTCTAAAACTTGTCTGTGCTTTAACCAAACACAACATATGGATAACATCCATAAATACAGAAAGATTGAAACAAAATTAACTGCTATATTTTATGGTCTTTGGTTAGACTTCCACCATCACAGTTTCTGTGACCTTCACTCTGATGCATGTAAAGGAAACTGTAAGAGTTTGATTTAATAATAGGACATATGTACATTTAAAGTCACCACACAAACCAGATGCAGAAAACAGACAACAATTATTACTGGAGGAAATACCTATGTACATAATTACAGTCCACACTAAGACAACTCTTCTTCCAACAGCACCATCAATGTTCCAGAACCAGAATGGAATGAATGAAGCATAGAATATTTCGTCTCCAAGTGCAGTACCCAGTACAAAGAGATAGTACCACACCCAATTGGTAATGATGTATCCCTTGGATTCGGGCTCCGATTCAGATGAAAATGTTTCATCTCCTTCAGGTTCACATGAGACGCAACCATTAGACTTGATTCCATTATCAATGCACTCCTTCGATTCACTAGTAGTATTATGGACACTAGTCCCTATTGCCTCCTCTTTTTCTAATCGTCTTTTGAATGCGAAAGCTTCATCATCTCCAGAGTGTGGACTTCTACTAATATTTCCATTGCTTGACGTTAATACAGGGCTTGAATTCAATGGACTGACTACTTCAACACCGTAATACCTTTGAATTCTAGCAACTAGATGGGGATCTTTCAGATAATTTATTATTTCGAACATAATTTCGTTTTTTCTTCAGAAAAACCACATTTATCACCATATGGTTGAAACTGAAGTATAAAGAATAATACCAATTTATTACGAGAATTAAGTTACAGGAGCGACATTCTTAATTAGTTTAAGAATCTCATGATGTTCATTTACAAAATAAAACTTCAATTGCAGAATACACGTCAACTGTTATAATAGCCACTGACTAATTCAGATCCACACAACATACGTTTGAAAAAAATATATATTATTTCAGACTACAGCAATATATAAACAACCGTGATTTTACGTTAGACGTTTGGTTTGTAATTATTCTCCATACACAGGTACCAATTCACTTATATCCAAATCCGAAGTCACGAGACAGGCGCCATAATACCCATATCGATATAAATAATCGATGGGTATACTATGAAGACAAATCGATTGAAATGACGATTGAACGATCAATATTCAATTTAGTATTTCGATCCGAATTAATGACGTAATTGACATTTGTCGACTTCAAAGGCTTGCGATTGTGCTGCGACCGCTGCGACTCCTGCACAGAAGTTGTACTGAATGAACAAGAGCAAAAAGAGCCAGAAGAGCTGAATTGATCCAATTGGGTTGTACAATAGGAAATTGATCGTATTTGATACTGAGTTGTGATTAATAAGCACGTGTTGGGGATATAATAACCTGTATGACTTTCTTGGCTTCGGATGGATAATTAGAAATTATTAGAACAATTTTTTTAATTTAACTCCATAAAATGGTTTGTATATTATACACATTTCTGAATTTATTTTTAAATTTACATGTGTATCGTAATACAGTTGAGCAAATGAAGAAGGCATATTTTTCAGTGTTTCATTATGTAGACGCTCTTTTTAGGACTGGAAAAGTTCTTTGCAGGCAGATGACTGTAATGACCTTCGACGAGCACATGTCAAGGTGATCTTTGACCTTAACATATATATTTATTAAGGTTGGGTTAGATTTTCTTAGGTTAGGGAAACGCTGTTATGTGCACTTGTGACGTTTACAGAAAGGTTGCCTTTAATGTTTGTACTGTGTCCACGTAAATGATTTCATTTGCAGGGTAAGGCAAAGAAAGCAAGGAAAATAGCTCAACAAAGATTTGCCCAAATGAAGAAAATGATAAGCCAGAGTGATCCAAGAATGTAAGTGCATTCATTATTCCTCATGGTATTAGCTTAAAGTAGGTGTGCTGACGTATTCATATTAAATTAGAAATAGTAATGATCACACTTGTCTCTGAAGTTGCTTAAGAAGCAAACAAGACAAAGCCAAGCTGATTCCATGTATTATAATACATACATGACTGTATGCGTGAAAATGTACTGCAGCTGAATCCAGAATCATAACTAACTTCCTTATTTCTGCAATGGTAATATTAATTAATGAAGGCTGTGTCTTGCTCCATGAAATTCAGTTTCTTCCTTTTCATCTTCCCCAACCTCCCAAATCTAATTTCCAACAGTACAAAAAGCATCACAAAATTTCTCACTTCCCCAGTTAGAAGACTTTTTATGATCGAAAGTTGTAGTTTCCTGTCTGTTTCATGAATGATATTGGTGCTGACATAAAACTGTAATTGCAGAAAGGAAGAGAAACGGGCACTTCCAAAAAAGAAGAAACGAGAGGATCCACATGAAATAAAGGTTCGGGAAGTGTGAGTATAACAGGTGACCAATATGCTACCTCAGACTTTCTCCTTATAGACATCTGCCAAGAAAATATACACTCTCAGCCTGTTTAAGTTTATAGTATGTAGGTAAGTCAGTAAGTAAGTTACAAATGGATATAGAACTTAAAGAAATAGGAATACTGATTTGAGTTATTTTAGTATTGAAAACTATTGCAAGAATGACAAAAACAAAACACAAGAAGAATGAATGTAGAACACACAACAAATCATTTTCAATCTTTTTTAACAAGAATCTAACTTTACTAAAAAAATTAACTTTTGGATGTCTTGAAGAATGCCATCTTCTAGTATGTGCCACCGGGTAGATCTTGTGTGAACCAATGTTTCAGAGGAACATATCACCTTCATGTTCAGGGTAGAAAGATCTGCGAGCGAGGAACCAGCGTGAGAGGTGGCTAGCAGACTGAGCCGCCAGTCAGAAACACCCAGTTATATAGGAACAGAGGGAGGGAGGGAGTGGGCCACATGGGAAATCAATAGAGGGGAGAGGTAGGGTCAGAGGTTGGTAGCAAGGCCCAGCGAGCAGGTAGAAGTAAGTTTTCAGGGGGCGGGGAAAAAGCCGGGGCTACCAAGCAAGCATTGACCTTGGGGGCTAGAGCTGCCAAGCATGTATTGATGTATATAGCCTTGTAGATCTGGCATCATGTTCAGGAGGTTTCTTGAGGGAGCAGTTAAAGGCTTCCATGACTTGCTGAGACAAAAGCAAATCTCTCTGTTCATATGAATTAATGAATGAATGTATAAGGGGTGGGCCTTCTCAGCCCTTGCACCATGACCTACAGTGATTTGTTGTGCTTCCCCTTTTGATTATCCCCTCAGTAATCCTGTGCTTCATTTGAAGCATAGGATTTTGTACGTGGGGGCGTTGAAATAGTCACTTGGTTCCATAAAGTATTGACCCAAGTGACGTAATCTTAAATAAGCTAAGGCCTCACATTCACACAGGATATGTGTGGCTGTTTCATTTTCTTCTTGACACCTCTCACAAGTGGGACTATCACTTAGTCCCAGTTTCAAGAGGTGTCCTTTAAGGTGACAGTGTCCTGTAAGTAGTCCTACCACCCATCGTAGCTGGTTCCTGTTTAACTTCATCATTTCCTTCGCTCTTTTAGCAGAGGGTCCTTGTATGAGTCCCTTTCCTTGCCTGAGTCCAGTTAAGAATCCCCAGTATTTCTTGTGCTTCATATTTGTTCAGTCCCTGATTGCCTTTCTGGCAACTCCTACAGAGATGTCACAGCCTGGTTCAGGTCCTATGAACAGATGTTCAGCTCCAGTCTTAGCTAATTGGTCTGCTGTTTCGTTTCCAGCAATGCCCTCATGTCCCGGCACCCATATCAGTTGTACCCTGTTATGTTTGGTCAGTTCCATGAGGGTTTGGTGGCAATTGCAGACCAATTTTGAGGTGATCTGGTTTTTGTCAAGCACTTCTGCCTGGAATACTGTCATGTACTGCCCAAGGCTGAAACTAAGTTTCCACCTCATACCATAGCAGAACACACCAGCTCCAGTGCCCTTATTTATCTTGGAACCATCTGTATACCAGATCAGTCCCCCTTTTCTATTGGACCAAAACCCGTTTTCCCATTCACTCCTGTCAGGAAATCTGACTGTGAAGGGTTTTTCATATACATGTCTCAATACCATTTTGTCAGACCCAATTTGTAATATGGGTTCTTTTTTCATGTATTGAGTTATGTATGCATGGCCGAAACCATCAGATCTAGGTTTCCATTGATCACTGCACTGGAGACTGTAGATTCCTGCCCTGGTCTCTGCGTCCAACTATAGATGCAGTGTGGGGAGTCCAAGGAGTATCTCCAGTGCAGCTGTTGGAGATGTTCAAATTGCTCCTGTGATACCCAAGCAAGCCAAATTTTGCAGTTGGTAAGTTCTGCCTTGCTTGTCTTGAGTTTAAGTCTGGGCCACCATACTGTGGCACCATATGTAATTATGGGGCTTACAGCCGCAGTGTATATCCAATGCACAACATGCGGCTGCAATTCCCAAGTTTTACCAAACATGCTTCTGCATGTCCAAAAAGCCTTATAGGCTTTATTGACGACCTTGTATGGCTGATTTCTCCATGTCAGTCCCTTGTCTAATACTAGACCAAGGTACTTTACATCGCTGGAGAGCTGGATCCCTTTATTGAAGAGGGTCGGTTCCTTAAGGCCTTTTATATTTCTCTTCCTGGTAAACAGTATAATTACCGTCTTATTAGGATTGATGGAAAAACTTGTTCTTTCACACCATCGTTGGACCGTGTTTGAAGACACTCTGATACTGTTGAAAGGAATTTTCCTTTTATGAGGATTGCTATATCATCAGCATATCCCACTGTATAATACCCATCATCATTAAGTCCCCACAGAAGATGCAAGAGCACGCCCCCCTGCGGACACCCCCAGGGTTTCTCCTGATAATGTAGCAGTTATGGTTCTGCTTTCCAGCATAGCACTGATCCACCTGCATATTGCAGGTTCTATGCTATGCTTCCCAATGGCCTGTTTGATTATATCAAATGAGGTTCTATCAAAAGCTCCCTCTGTATCAAGGAATCCTCCTAAGGCAATATCCTTGTGTTCCATTGCACTTTCTATGCATGTTACCACATTGTGTAGTGCGCTTTCGGTAGATTTACCTGTTTGGTAGGCATGTTGGTTTTGGTGTAGAGGATATGTCCTCAATACCCCGTCCCTAATATGCCTATCCACTAGTTTCTCCATCGTTTTCAAAAGGAAAGACGACAGGCTGATAGGACAATAAGCCTTTGCCCTGGTGTAATCAAGTTTCCTGGGCTTTGGGATAAGTGTCACCTTAACTTGCCACCAGGCCATGGGGGTGAAACTATATGCCATGCAGGCTATACATATTGTTGCGTATCGGGGGTATGACGCGACAAATAATTTCTCGATGTATTCGATGTAGCGAATTTTATTTCACACTCGCTCTTACAATCACCCAAATTACAATCTGACGATTACTGCTATCTGCAGTATCACAATTAGTACACTCCAAATGCCACAATACAACTGACTGGCTGACTTTACGTCTTGACTCGGCGACTGTTACAGTACAACTCAGTACAACTCTGCGGTAGCCACACTAGAACTGACTGTGAATAGCCTTCGCTGCTCCCTATGTAGCCTCGATCGGACAATACGGGAAAACGGCCACGTAATAGGCACCCTTGTTGCTAGCCACGCTGTGTTGCTATGTAACGCTAGCGGAGGTCACCGCTGTTACTATCGTAACGTCGCCGCTGTTGATTCGCGTTGCCTAGCGACCGCGATATCCCTCGGTGACGTCACCGCGGAGGGGAGTGGCGGGGCGGGAACTCGCCTATTACCGTAAGAACGCGAGCGTTACGCCACCGCCATGCACCGCGGGGGGGAGGTAGGGGTCAACATGTCACAATATGCAGCATAGGTGTGGAACTAAGATTTCCGCCCCATGCTGCAAAAGTGCTAGTACAATTCCATCTGTTCCCGCTGACTTAAATGGTCTAAACGTATTCAGTGCCCATCTAATTTTGATTAGTTAATTATGTCTCTGTTCATATTGTTGTGATGGAGCTCAATTTCAATGTCCCAAAGCATCGGTTCACACAAGATGTACACGGCGCCACATCCAAGAAGACTGCATTCTTCACAGTCACTGCTGTGAAAACCTTAATCCTACTTTTGAAATATTATAATAGTATATAAAAAAGGTAAAGCTATTCCTGTAACAGGCCATGGAGGCCCATAGGGTTGTGATACATCGAGGCTTCCACATTATCTAGACAATTGGCTCACAGATGGCGGTGAGGTTGTCAGCTTTACGTGCTGGCCGCCCTTAACCCCCAAGAATTTTCCCAGTATTCATATCTGTTAGAGGCAGAGATGACCCCAGGGCCATAGTGTGGCTGGAAGGATTAGGTAAATTCAAAAAATCCGATGACCTCGTTGGGATTCAAACCTGTGACCTGGCTTTTAGCATGGTGTCTCAACCAGCTACGCTACCATATGAATACTGTATAGCAGTTTATATGATTTGTATGAATGTGATGATGCCCCCATATAGCTGAAACATGTCTTAAATATATATGAAAACATGGACTAAGTAATGTTCTAACCAGCAACCTGCAAAGTGTTGCATTTACAGGACCAAGACTGTTACAGTCTTACACTTGTTGGGATTCAAACCTGTGACCTGGCTTTTAGCATGGTGTCTCAACCAGCTACCGTCTGAATACTGTATAGCAATTTATATGAATCATATGAATGTGATGATGCCCCCATATAGCTGAAACATGTCTTAAATATATATGAAAACATGGACTAAGTAGTGTTCTTACCAGCAACCTACAAAGTGTTGCATTTATGGGACCAAGACTGTTACACTCTCACACAAACACACACATATATAAGTGCTCAACTAATGCAACAGGATGCTTAATACTATATTATATTCTTCCCAAGTTTGTATATTGATAATATACTGCAGATACAAATCTATTCTTGCAAAGCTAATCACACTTTATAGCCCACTTCATAATTGCAAATTATTTTTCTATGTATTTCATTAAATACATTAACAAAATGTGATCATAAGAATATTTTATATGTTCTAAATGTTAAGAAATAAATACTTGACTATAATCTTTAAGCTTGTAAACTTGTTACATGATAATTTTTACTTATACTGTAAGGGTGAGGGTACACCAAGGAAACTGGCAACTGCAATGCAACCGCAATTTCAGAGAAAAATCGTCAATTTCAGGAAGGCAGCTGGTTTCCAGATTAGCAGGCACACACTGAGGAAACTTACATTTGATTAGTGCTACATTACAAGTGGGTGTGTTTGTCCGCCAATTTTGTGCAACTTTTTTAAATCATTAAAGCATCTATTGTCCTCCAAAATTTCATCAGAAACTGGGAAGGGCTGTTTTGCGAAGGAACTGAAAATTATCCAGTAAATCAGTGAAGTCATATTTGAAATGATGACGATGATGAAAGGCAATGATTGTTGAGGGCACAGCACCTATGGATTCAGCTGGCTGATTATTNTAGTCGGAGGGTGCCAGATCAGGGCTATAGGAGGGGTGTGGAAGAAGTTCCCACCCCATCTTTGCAATTGCTTCCAATGTGACCTTTGTAGTCTTCGGTCAATAACCGTGGACCCAACGAGCACAAACTTTCCTATACCCCAAGCTTTCAATCATCTCCCGTACTGCACTGTGCCCTATTCCAAGTTTTCGGGCTATTGTGTCCACAGTCACATGCCTGTCATCTTGAATGATCTCATCCACTCTTTCCTTGTTGCGTTCAGTTGAGGCTGCTTGAGGACGACTGCTCCGAGGCTCATCTTTGATGCTGGTGTTCCCATCTTTAAAATGTTTCACCCGTCTTCGAACACTGCTCGCACCCATGCACACATTTCCATAAGCACGCTGAATTCAGAAAGCAGTGAGTCAGTGTCTTCAGATGGCTGGAACAGAATTTTACAGAAGGGGAATTTTCAAACTCTCAGAACGCTGGAAGAAATGAGTACAAAGAAGTGGCGATTATGTGGAAAAATAAAGAAAGGTCTGTAGATTGAGGTAGTGTATTTGATTTGTCAATAAAGCATGTTACTTTACAAAAAATTGTTGCTCGTGACTTTCAGTATGACGTACGTATAAAGGATGAGGGCTAACCTAACTGCTGACCTGTATCACATAGCATGGGACATATTGTAGTAGTTGTTTGCATTGCTTCTATCAGACATGTATTCTGTATTTGGATCCTATTATAAGTTTTGGTTAAAATGTATATTTGTACACATATACGTGGTACAGTAATTAAGTTCGTGGACTGTGGTTTTATCGCATCATATTTCAAGGTGTTCACATACACTTACACAGATCCACATCAGCCCTCAAAATAGTCGCCATTGACCACTATGCAAGTCTGCCAATGTTGATATAGCTGCCGAAAACACTGCTGAAACATATTGGCAGGAAATTCCTGTATAGTGTCTCTTGTGGCATTGATGACCTCCTTGGATGACTGAAATCTATGGCCACGTAGCTTTGCTTTCAAACGGTGAAAGAGAAAGAAATCGCAGGGTGTGGCAAAACGGTGACCTGTTGCCTTGCCAGTTTCTCTTGGACAAGAACAGAGCGATGTGCAGGGGCGTTGTCATGTAGTAACAGCCAATTCATGTTAAACGTTTCGCTAGGGGATTTGCCTAGTTTCTGGCAGAACTTGATGTTTGCCCATTGTTCAAACTGCCACATTTTCAATTTATGCCACTTGCTTTTAACTGCAGTTCACAATAGAGGCCATAGTTCTGCTTACACTGTTTGCACACAGCTGCCTCTTGCTGTGACTAGAGATGAACTGACAGGGCATCATATTGTGCATCAACCTATCCACTGTAGTGCACTGCAATGACGCTTTGCGGCCAGTTCACGAACTTATTGACTATGGTAGTATACATATACACATACCAGACTTGAGAAATTCTTTCCCAAGCCAAATCTGTTTTGTCCCACCTAGCATAGTTTGGGTGGCATTCATCATATATACCAGTCTGTTGCTCAAATAACTGCACAAAAACAAAATTAGCAGCTTTGTCAAACTTTTGTGCCATCTTAAGAAACAAATGAATCACTGAAGCGTGTTATAGAACAGCTGACACTAGAAAACTATGCTGCAATGCAATTGTGAGGAGACTGGCTTGCTCTGTTGCCTGGGAATCGAGTTTCTCAGTCTTCTGCCGAGTTGCGTTGCTGTTTCCTCAATCTGTGCTGCTCCATTCAGTTCCATGTGTTCAACTCAGGATAACAGTTCTCGGAAATTGTGGTTGCCAGTTTCCTTGGTGTGCCCTCACACTAAATGTTAAGATGGTGATAAATGAAATACTCATCTGCCTCGAATAATGAAGACTGTCATGGTCAGAATACTGTATATTTTGTTACCACATGATATTACAATTTCAATTTGTGTTGCAGACCACAAGCTTCAACAGCTCTGTTCTTTCAATACAATACACAGCTGGGACCACCATACCACATCCTTATTGATACAAATTTTGTCAACTTTTCTATAAAGTATAAATTGGATATCATACAGAACATGATGGACTGCCTCTATGCTAAGTGTAAGTAAAGTCATGTTCAGATTCCAAACTTGATCTATAAATTAGCATATCAAATAAGAAAATGCCAAATTTATGGGGTCTTTGTCTTCTTTAAAGGCCTTCAAAAATCAGCAGAAATTGCAAAGTAATAATTACACATGTGGCGAATGTACTTCTAGTACAGAATTCCAATATTTGAAAGTTATCTGAAATTAAAAGGTTCAGCACCAGAAATACTGCCACCACTGTGCGTGACCTTGAGCCCCTCAACCTGCCTTTCCCATTCTGGTCTTCCAGGTGGCAAGTTTCCAAGTATTTTCTCCTGAACATAAAAAGGTCGCATATAAAATGTGCAGGTATGTTCATGTGCTATTTATATATAAAATTTAGAATTTTTAGCCACAGTGCAAAAGGAAGCAGATTTTACATGGTTGTCATATTTTTCACAACATTAAAAAGAAGACTTAGACAAATGATATGTTTTTCAAATATCACTTATCATAAGTTCACACAGCCAAGATGTGGATAATGCAATAATAGTGAATTGAAAGAGTATATCTCAGGTAGCCTAATTTATACACCAAGTCCACGTGAGCAGCATCCATGTGCACACAGACATAATGACCTTATTAACAAATCTCTCTGTTTTGAAAGTAGTTTAAATACTTGGCAGAATTATTGGAAACAGTATGGATAGGCATGTGCATACTAACCACTCAACATTACCAAACCCTATATGTTTCTGCATTTGCATCTGGCTCTTCCAGTGGGTGATTGATGATTTGATGTATTACCTTCAGGTATTGCTTACATCACTGACTGTGTGGTGGGTGAGTTGGAGAAACTGGGACAGAAGTACAGAGTGGCACTTAAGATCATCAAGGATCCCAGGTTTGAAAGACTCACATGCCTACACAAGGGAACATATGCAGATGATTGTCTTGTGCAGCGAGTTATGCAGGTAATAATAGTCTGATAAGCTGGATAGCAGTAGCTGTGATATTACTCCCAGTGACTAATGATTTATGATTTCAGCACAAATGCTACATTGTAGCAACCTGTGACAGAGATCTGAAAAGAAGGATACGCAAGATTCCAGGGGTGCCAATTATGTACATCTCCCAGCATAGGTATGTTCCTTCCACAACGTGTATTTCTTAACCTTCTGTGTCTGTAGATGATCTGAAGTTATAAATCATTAATGAGAAGACAGGTATGTATTTTAGGTAGCATGATAGCCTTTAGCATCTAGGATTAGGGCTTTAAATCCTTGCACTGGTTGCAGGACTTCAGTGCAGTGAGGCTATTAGTGAAGAAATGCATACATCTTCAGAACTGCTAAAATATTCTAGTAAAAATTACTTCAAGCATAATAAATTACTGAATTCTACATTATTACTGTTATGAAAATCATTGTTTCCAGTATGTTTATAGAGACCTCCAGTCTAGAAAACAGAGTTTAACGGGCGTGGGGATCCGTTGTGCTGGCCACGTGATGCCCCTACCTGCAAAATTTGGCACTAACTTCGCCAACAAGCAGGGGCCACTTTGTATCTTGCATACTACAGGCCACAGAGTGTTTTTTCTTTATAGACCTCCAATGAAAGGATGGATATCACTGGAATTCCTAGAAGTTGACGAAATTTTATTACCTTGGGTTTGGTTTGCATTGCTGTTATTTGCTGTCAAGTTGACATATGAGATTGTCAGACACTTTACACAGCCCTTCTACAATTACCCCATTACCCCTGAGAATTCTTTTATTCCTTTTTTTCAACTTCAGACTAGGTAATAACTTCACCACTCACCAGTGTGATTAATAGTATATCGTCACTCCACCTACAACAAAAATCACCAGTAAAAGTTTTGTATTCCTGTCCCATTAATGTAATATAATATTAGCTGGACAGCATACAAAACTTCTTATGGATAAAGGTTATCCCCCTGAAACTCCCTCCATTAACAGTGAAAATGTTTATTTTTGCTTGCATTCCAACTCATTCATAAGCCACTGCCTCAGAGCTGAGAAAAACTAAATGAGTGGGAAAGGCATACTGACAGAACCTGAAATGGAACCTGATATATATGTACAGCTAGGAATGACCTTTGTAGGTTCAGTGATTATGAGTAACTCAGAGCAAGGAAGAAAAAGAGTGGTCTGTATAGAGCAGTGAAAAAATAATGGTACTGCTACATTAAATGTAACTACTACAGGCTGACAAAAAAGAGGGGATTTTAGCAACATGTTTACTGCAAGACTTGATGAACTGTGGGTTTGCTGTTTAAAGCACTTAATTTGTGGTAGTGAAAGGTTGAGGACAATACTTTTGAGCAACCAAAGCCTTGCAGTGTGCTGTTCTGCAGTAATAATGACATTCTGAAAATGATCCTTCTCTGTCGTAGAAGTGCCTGTGGTGATCATTTCTTTTGTAGTTACTTGATGATAGTCTTAAAAAACGTTTGACCAGGATGTTTTATTTGCAGGTACACAATTGAGCGGATGCCTGATGCATATGGTGCTCCAAAGACATGAATTTGTACCTGTTTTGTATAAATAAAGCATGTATAAATAAAAAGTTGCACCTTTTTATTTGGAGTATGTGGAATAACTACATAAGCAACAAAGACAATTTTAGTTCCATTAATTTTCATTACATTGAAACAGAGATACTTGAGAGTGGAGGTTATATTAGTTTCATTGATTTTGCTCTAGTAAGCAGGTGTTACTCCTGGAAAAAAAAAACATATATTAAAAAAAGTTGTGCTTAAAATATAAGTGAAAGAGGTAAAGAATCGACCAGAACATACATTGCCAGCAATGTGTACCATTCCTGCTTCATATCAATTTACATGATACACTGTGCATCTCTAATCAGTAGTCCATTAACTCACATCTGTAATCACTCACTATCCACAGGAATCCTTCCTGATCGTCTTAAGATTTCAGTAGCAAAACCACTATACAGGGTGTCCCAGGAGGAATGGTCAAAACTTCGGGAGGGTGTTCCTTATGTTAAAGTATGCCGATATAACCCAAAACACCTATGTCCAAAGTTGAACGGTTACGGAGATAATGGCCCAAGAAAAGTATGGTCTTCTGGCGGGTCCACGCACTGTACCTGTCAGCTGAGACGCCTTATCTAAGTTTATCCTTGAGTGCGGTGATTCACACTAGCCGTAAGCTCATGTGCTACGTACAGAGTACGTTGCAGCTGCGTCATGAATGGTTGGTAATTAGTTGTGCGAAGTTGCTGAAATGCCTTTTGTTTTCACACGTTGAATATTATGATATGCATTTTGTGTATAGATTTTGCGGTGGCAATGCACGTGCTGCTGTTGAAGAGTACCAAAGGCGTTTTCCCGATTGAAGGATTCCATCTCGAAGTGTATTTACGCGAATTGACCAGCCATTGCATGATACTGGTTCTCTTCCGAGTGTTTCTGTGCAGTCTGAAAGGGAGGATGTACGAATGATAAACACATGAGAGAACATTCTTGAGATGGTTCAGAGAAGTCCATGTCTGTCCACTCTTAGATGGCCTCTCGCATTGGCGTATCACGTATGCAGGTGTGGTGAACTTTACATGACGAAGAGTATGAAGAGTTGTATCCTTACCATGATCAAAGGGTACAACATCTGGAACCAGGCGACCATGCACAGCGTATGGATTTGTGCCACTGGATAAAAGCTCATCCCGAACTGTTAAGCGTCATTTTATTCAGCGATTAGGCGTCTTTTACCCTGGACGGTGTAAATAATTTACGAAATGTGCATATGTGGTCCCATAATAATCCACATGAGATAATGGAAACGAATTCCAAAAGAGATTTTCCGTGAATGTACGTTTAATACAGTTATGTGGTCGGCCTATAGCGCAGTCAGCCATGTGTCGTGTATAGTGCTTGGAAACCCTAAGGACAATTATGACATGGCGAGTGAGTATTTTGTACTTCAATTTTATGGCTTCATGTCACTCACAAGTTAGTTTGATGTTACGTACATTATTAACATTACAGAAACCACATATTCATGCCAGTTTTAATATGTATTTTGTAATCAGTGTTTTGGGTTATATCGGCATACTTTATCATAAGGAACACCCTTCCGAAGTTTTGACCATTCCTCCTGGGACACCCTGTATAAGTGGACAAGACTAGTATGTCAAACTACAGGCCAATTTCACTGCTGACTACTTTCTCTAAAGTACATGAAAAAGTTATGCACAATAGGTTAAGCCATTATTTTCAGAGTACCAATATAATAGTCCCAGAACAGTTTGTTTTTAGGAAAGGAATTTCCATTGAAAATGCAGCCTTTAAGTACATATAATATTTGCAGATGACACTAGTGTTATAATTTCTGGTAAAAATTTAGATGATTTCTGCATGTTATCAAACCAGGTTCTTTCACAGATGAGTAAATGGTTTTCTGCAAACAAGCTGTCCCTGAACCTAGGAAAGACAAATGTAATAAAATTTATAACAAACTCGCCACAATATCCATTAAACATAGGATATAATGATAAATATATGGAAGATGGAGTAAACACAACTCCTTGGCTTGCAAATTTATAATCATCGATCAGTTGATTCCAAAGCTAAGTAGAGCATGTTATGCAGTTAGATTCATGTTACATATTAGTAACACTGACACTCTCAAATCAATGTATTTTGCTTATTTTCACTCTTTAATGAAGTATGGAATAATTTTCTGGGGTAATTCATCTGACAATAAAAAAGGTATTTACATTGCAAAAGAAAATTGTTAAAATCATGATGGGTGTCAAATTCCGTAATTCCTGTAGAGATCTATTTAAGAGACTGCAGATCTTAACTTTGCCTTGTGAATATATATATTCATTAATAAACTTCATTACAAATAACATTTTCAGATGAATGTGGATGTACACAGTGTTTACACAAGACACAAACGCTGTCTTCATAAACCAATTGCTAACCTCTCCTGCTTTGAGAAAAGCGCATATTATGCTGGGATCAACATTTTTAATAACCTGCCATCTGATCTCAAAGCTCTTATGAATGAAAAAGCACGATTTAAAACAGCACTGAAACTATACTTAAATACACATTCATTCTACTCTGTTGATGAATACCTACTGTCTAGAAAACAACTTATGTATCTTTAAATAGCCTTGTATGTAGTCATTGTGTATTATTAGTTTCTCTTGTGTGCGAACTCCATGGGGTCTGTACACATGTTTTGTATTTATATGACATATTCCACATCCTACAGTCATTTTGACTAACGTTGGATCATGGAATGCAATGTAATGTAATGGAGTGGTAAAACAGGTTGCCTGATATACAGTCTAAGAGTTGATACTATACAGATTCCTACTGATGCTCTTAATGTATTACACTAGGGTAATATTCATTATCACTGACAAAACAGCACTTTTTGAGCCATAGCCTTCCTCTGAAGATTCTGCTATATTTGATCTCATCTTCAATTCCTTGGATTTTGGAACAAGTTTTTTATCAAGCAAGGTCATCAGTCTTGCATCCAACTCCCAATCAGGAGGACCAGGTCCCTGTATTTATGTCCCCCATTAAGGTGAAGGCCCAGTTATACCCCTAGGCACCAGGTTCCTGTTTCGTCGCCTATAACTTGCAGGGCCACAGTGGAGGTATTCTATCCTGCCTCCACAGAGGGAATATTAGTGAATAAAATTTGCTATTTGAGAAATGTTCTGGCAAACCCCTAAAATATGTTTCATGTGTATACTGTATTCAGGAAAAAGTTTGGAAACCATTTCAATAAATCCAGAATTCTTCCCAAAGGCAATATGGAAGTCTATAAAGTGAACATTACTTATTGGTAAAAACAAACCTCTCATTTCAGTTGAAGTTGCCACAATGGATGCAGACGGCGTTCTAAAACAGTTCTCTGTCTTCAGATTATTTCTTTGCAATTTGAAGCTCAACAGAATCAGAAAGCTCACTCAGTTGCATTATCCTTCAATCACGTGGAAGTCTGAAGGTGTCCTAAGATTCATCATCATAGCGAGCTTATTTCAAAACTTTGTGGCACAGCAACTAACCTATTCAGCTGTTTACTTAACCACACAGACTATCCAAAGGTCCTACTAGCTACTGAAGTATCATGCAGTTTATATCATGGAGTCAAGTGTTGTTGGATGCGTCTGTTGCTGTGGGAATGTATTTACTGAGCTGTTTCCTAGCAGTGGTCATCTATTCTTGATTATTAAAATCTGTTGCCTAGACACAGGTCTATATCTGTGATCTTAGGCCAATAAACTCAGTGCTAAATCAATTCCATTTCCAAGATTTTCCCCCATTTAGTGTTCAAAATCCTCAAACCTTAAATAAGGGTCTTAATGCCCTTTCTCACTGGCCACATTACATGGATTTTCAGTGAACTCTGAAGTCTTGAAAAGTAAATTACAAATGGTACAAACCTAAAATTGCTCTGCCAGATGTAGTCTACTGCACCGTATTAACCTGAAAAGAGACACTGAATTCAGAACATATCATTGAAACTGAAACACAATTCATCAGAAAGCTCCCTCATTTGCTTTACATTCTGATCACTTGAGGATCTGAAGGTGTCCTAAGATTCATCATCACAGCAAGCAAAATGCAGTATTCGTGACACTTGCTTCATTATTCAGTGCTGGAATGTTACAGGGTTACCCTGAATGAAGTCTTGTCTGTTGCATGATTATCAAAGTCACTTCTTGCATATGAACAGGTTAACCTTTAACGTACGGACTTTTAAATTGCCAGGAGCCCTGTATGGCCGGAATTTAAATCACCCTAATTAATTATCACCGCAAACTTTCAGAAAAAAATGCATATTTTCCGTTCTATGCAACATAGAAATATGAACTAAAAAGAACCTGAAAGACAATAAAATTTTCTACATATACATAAAAGAACAAGTTTTACAAATGAAAATTAACTGTGAATATTTTGTCATGAATTGCAAAACATACACTTTATTATATATGTTATGAAGTTCCAAAGGACTTACCCATTGTTTCTTCTTCAATCTTGAATCATGATAATATTGTAGATATGATCACACTATATACAATAATATTTTGTTCAGACTGTACGCGAGTTTGAACTGCGTCACTTCACAGTTTATGTTATCTCACACTCTGACGCGCGTGTGCCATCTCTCAAAACAGTCCTCCACACAGAGTGCAACGTTAAACTTTTTACAGTAGTAGGCCCTGGTTCTGCGCTTCTTATTCTGACAACAAACACGACAACATATTTGTTTTCCTTTGGCTGGCCAGTGTTGTGAATGTTTCACCTCCAGTCGACTCAGTTGGGCCCCAAATGAACTTGGCCTCCCCCGAGAAACGCCACTGACTGTGATATTCGCCTCATGTAACTGAAGAACCAAATCCCGCACCAATATTTCGCAGAACTTTTTGTGTCATTTTTCCACCACATGACTTATGTAACAGATATGCATTAAGAATAGTCATATATAGAAGGTGGAAAAACAATTTCTTTGTCCACATCCATGTCCTCCTAGCAATGCCATAACTGTTTACCATCCTGTCAGATTTATCAACAAAGCCCATGTGTGCATCGTAGTCTTCAATTACATGGGGTCTGACAGCACGGCCGGATTCTTCTCAGAAGTTGCCTTCCAATGGAGGAGGGTGCAAATTCGTCAGAACATACACATCATGCTTGTCTTTCCAACGAACAACACTTAGCTGCCCCTTGACTCTTATAACAACATTGAGCACGTTTTTGAGGTTCCATCTTGGGGGAGGGGGTTTCCAGCAAAATTGAATAAATTATGATTCACAAAGACTTGCTAAATAGTTATGCAAAGTAACTGTAATAGTATGGTACAATAGGCCAGAAGTGGCAGCAGTACAAGAGACTTAGTCCCACCCCACTAGCAATAAAAAATAATAATTGTAACAGCAGTTGAAAAGGTGCCAGTCCAACACTTATACGGGAAGTCACAGTGACGAAGATGCCTTCTACTCACAAACAAATACTGGCTCAGTGGGTTTATACCTCTTCCAAGACACAAAATAATATATACAGAAATATATGAGAGTCTGACACTAACTTTTGAAGTGAAAAAGAAATATAACACAATCCGACACTGACTTCCAGCAGATAATTCGCCACTGAAAACCAATCCTTGAATACGTCACACTTCCTTGAAAGCTCTGGAAGCACTGATCTGTAAGCACCGACGAATATTTCCTCTTCAGTTCTCAGAACAAAGCTGGGCTACATTTGGCTCACCGGGTCACAAAGAGTCATATATAAACATAGTCTCAAAATCAGGACCGAGATAAACAATTTGTTTGTTCAGAGCTAAGGAATGAACCACTGACATGACTTCACGTAGGTTTCTTTTGGTTTCAAACCCAAGGTCAAACTGTCAGCACTCCTAAAGAGTGCACGTGTCCTGCGACACATATACGTGTCATTTGGCCAACTCCAGTCCCTGCTTGCGACATGTATATGAATCATTCAGCCGTTAAAGGTTAATATGACTTCCACTGATACGAAGTAAGCATCAACAGGAAAGCGATGCAAGATATTACAAATTGTACAAATGGTGATGGTTGCAAACAATAAATAAGTGGCACTGAAGATGTGTGACAAGAAAGAATTTGTAAGAAATTCAGCCAGCCAATTACAAGAAGTAACTTCGATTATGTATTTATGCAAATGTATAATAGAGGTTTCCAAATGCGCATTTTGCAATTTTTCACCTTCTATTCGTCTTGATATTTGTTTACTGCTTATTTATTAATAACAGACCTAATCAAGCACTGAGATATTATGCTACATACATTTTATTAAATAAAACCTGCATAAACAATTATTTAATGAAAACTGATGAATCTTTATGAATATAAGTAGTTACTATAGGATTCTAACGATGGTGTAAAACAGAGATATTGGGTTTTCGGACTTATCTTAAAAACCAGGACGATGGATAAAGACCGAAAACCCAATATCTCTTTATGAATATAGTTTACATCATGTGCCAATTAATACTTGATTATGCAAAATGAACCAACTTGGGCATTAATTTTCTTCTACCATGGTCTTATTGTAGGGAACTGTGATTCAAAGCTGTTTAATATTGGGAAAAAACAATTCATATTAAAATGCCAGAAGAGTTATGGGCCTGTGTCTACAAACAAAACAGCTACCTCTAAACATTATGTTACCCACATAACTTACAATATCATCAATTTTGAGGATGCTGCGAACAGTTTCAGATGCTAGGGTGATGGCACTAGTTGAAACCAGCAATGGCTGAACTACATTCTCTTCTAGAATATTAGTTATTGCTCCCTGAAAACAAAAATTATTACCTGAGTGAGCTCAACAGACACAACGGATGAAGACAGTGATTGAAAGATTGGTTACCTGGAGACTGATTCCTTTTGGATGCATCCAATTTTCAAAAATAAGGATTTGGGAACTCAGCCATGGTACTCGTATAATATTAAACCTGATATGGAGGAAATGTTACCTTCCCTTCATGATGTTACTTTTCTTTTCTGTTTATGGCCTGACGTGTGTATGGTCATGCATCTTTGGGTTCCAGAATTGGCAACCCTATGAATCTGCTGGCTGCTATAACTGTTCTCAACAAAAGTAACCCTGAGAAACTCAAGTTCATTATGCGTGCTATTCCACACACCAAGATGGAAATATGACCCAGGGAGCAACCAGGTATCTTGTAATATATCTTCTACCAGATTACATTGCACATCACAACACAGAAGATAGTACTGTTCATAGTTCAGTCTGATTCCTAGTACTAGCTTAAATCCTGGCAAATGGAAAGATGTGCCAGTCAAACTTATGGATTAAACAAGGATGAGAAAGGACATTCACTTCTTAAATACTGAAGTGTGGTCACAGTTACCAGACTACAAGTGATAACAGTCTGGTTCACAGTACTGCTATCAACTCCATGTACAGACACATTAAGTTTTAAGTGTAAACTTTGTACAATTCTTTTACACTGCAATCTCACAATATTGTGACGTGACAGCGCCATGCTCGGTAAGCACCCTGTCCCCTTCCCCCACGGTGACGTAACAGTGGACACCGTGGTTGTTATGCAGCAATAAACAACTTTCGGCAGCGTTGCCCAGCAACGTCTTTGTAGACCCAGCGGGGAGTCCGTGCAACAACTGTTGCTAGGCAATCGGTAAACACGACATTAAGCAACAGTGGCACCTATCACGTAACTGTTTTCTGTGTTGTCCGTGCCGAGGCTAAATAAGGAGCAGCGAACACTATTCAGTAGTTAGTAGTGAGTGATTAGTTACTGAGTAGTGAGTATTGAGCCAGTTACTAGAAAAAGAGTAACCAGTTAATTGCAGTCTAGTATTTGTGATACTGCCAATGGCAGTAATGTTGAGACTGTAAACTGTATGACTGTAAGAGCGAGTGGAATAAATTCGCTATATCAAATAAGGCGTGAACTTATTTGTCGCGTGACATATACCCAACACGTGACAATATGTATCCCACAAGGCCAAAGAGTACTTTCAAAATATATGAAACAGAATTACAGGGCAACAAACAAACAAATTTCCCTCTAACCTAATACTTTTCAATTTTCAATTCATAAATTATTTAGAGGTATGTAACATTTTTCCAAGAAAATGATATCAAATTATTTTGTGGACAGGCATCACAAGAAAAATTCTTCCAAACTAAAATAAAGATGTTGCTGCCCTGTGTCATTGTTTGTTGGAGACTTCTAAATTCTCTGAAACACAGATAAGTCATACCACTGAACAGTTATATGTTTTTCAAAGACCAGTTTACAAGTAAGGAAACAGATACAACACTTGAAGAAAGCAGTCTTCTGGGATTTGGCAACGTGTATATGTGGTGTTAACCGACGTTTCGGAGGAACGTATCGCCTCCATCTTCAGGGTAGAAGAAAAAAGACAGTCTGTGACAGTCTGCTTTTACCGGTTCTCACGGTCTCTTCGCTTTGCAGATTTCTTATATTTTTTTCTACCCTGAAGATGGAGGCGATACGTTCCTCCGAAACGTCGGTTAACACCACATATACACGTTGCCAAATCCCAGAAGACTGCTTTCTTCAAGTGTTGTATCTGTTTCCTTACTTGTAAACTGGTCTTTGAAAAACATATAACTGTTCAGTGGTATGACTTATCTGTGTTTCAGAGAATTTAGAAGTCTCCAACAAACAATGACACAGGGCAGCAACATCTTTATTTTAGTTTGGAAGAATTTTTCTTGTGATGCCTGTCCACAAAATAATTTGATATCATTTTCTTGGAAAAATGTTACATACCTCTAAATAATTTATGAATTGAAAATTGAAAANAAAATAGGTTTTCTGCACCAATTCCAACATATATTACTGTCACTGATTTACAGTATTACAATTCTTTCTTAAATAAAATCATTTTTATTTTTCTTAATAATTTACAAGCTTTCTATTATAGGAGTCATATTACATTTGAGGTGATGTTTATTTGGATATTTCATGATGCTGAATCAACTTGTTATCTAGAATGAATGAGTTACGATTATGAATGAAGCACCAACCACTGTCGTTCAGTGTTCTGTAAAATTACAATGTTAGTAGGTAAAAGTTTTACCTCAGCTCTTAAACAGACACAAGTGGTCTTTTTATAAGAGACATGTTCAGCCACATTAATATATGAATAAACAGCAATACCATCAAATGCAACAAGTTTACTATAAAAGATTGCCTTCACATGCTTGGGCCACCACTGGCCATCATTAGAATACATAGCCAACATTACAAAGATATACCGTATTTATGCATGTATAGGCCGCGTGTGTGTATAGGCCGCAGCACAATTTTCAGACAGAAATTATAGAAAAAATAATTTTCTTGGAATATTATTTCAGGAGTAGAAATTATTCCGAAATTTGGCAACGTTTAACATTCCTAAGTTCGCAACTAGCG